GTTTTGAGTGAACTTTGCTATAGGTTATCGAGGGCCCTGAATCCGAATCCGAAGCCCATTTTTTTGGCCGAGATTTCATTGGTCAGAAATCGGTCAATCAGAAATGAGCTTTTTCATTTTAAAACTTTTGGTCGTTTTGAGTGAACTTTGCTATAGGTTATCGATGGCCCTGAATCCGAATCCGAAGCCATTTCTTTGGCCGAAGTTTCATTGGTCGGAAACCGGTCAATCAAAAAAGGAACTTTTTTATTTTATGGCTTTTGGCCGTTTTGATCGAACTTTGTTAGAGGTTATCGAGGGTGAGAAATCCGAATCTGGAATCAGGATTCCAAAATTCAGATCTCGAATCTATTCGTTCTATGAGAAGTGATGTTGAGAAACAGCAAGTACTTTGTAATACGTGACAGTAGTGTAATGAATCAAGAAATACGAAGATAAGATGAAATCAGAGTGCTTGTAGAACAAAGATTGAGGAATGAGAGCGAGTTACGCAAAAAAATTATTTAGATTGACAGGATACAACGGCTGTGTCCACTTATTCAGAATATTTCAGATTATCGGTAAATCTATACTAACGTGTCCTCTTCCTGAATACTGATAAGCTTCCAAAGAAAATTTCTAATGTGGATGAATTTTTTTGTAAAGGATCAAACTTTCCATCAGTTTTTAAAATAGGAACGATGGCTCGATTTTGAAAATGGTATCAACCTTTCGTGAGTGAAAGTAGCTGGAAGTAGCGGATAGCCGTGAATGGCGTTCCTTCGGAAGGACGGCGAACGAATAGCTGCCTCTAAACTAGGTTTATTCAAATCTGTTTTACGACATTTCTGCATAACATCAAGCAAGGTCCTTAAAAAAGTGCCACAGAGACTTAACATGTGACATTTTATGTAGAGAAGGACTTCTATAAACATGGAGAAACTCGAGAGACGACACGTATATATTTAATAGATATCTTGCTGGATATAGGAAATCTAGTACCCTTTAGTTACGAGTAGAGAAGCTTTTGAAGCAGTCGAAATGTGGATTAGTCATGCCTTGAATAAGAAAGTAGTCATTTGAGAATGTGTTCAAAGATAGTAGTAGCTAAGTGTGAATAGCGCCACGTCGAAACTCCGACAGTGAAATATAGTAGCTTCTATTTCTATTTCACAATTTTTTTGGTATGAGATATGGTCTATTAAGCTAGTTTTTTGTGTGAAATCATATACTTAAGCTTCTTTCGATGGCGAGCTCCATGAAATCTTAGATTGACTAGCTAGGTAAAGGATTGAAACGCATAAGGAATAGTTCACAAGTATTTTCACTTTGGGATTTCTCATGCGATAAATATAGGCAGCTTTGAAACTAATCCAAATCTAGAATCCAGTAAAATTTAAATAACAGTGCACGATTATATAATTACTGGAAGAGAACGATGCATAACAGCAATTAGTTGCGCGTGACGACCCACTCGGATGCTGACGAGTGACTAGCTGCTGCCCTAAAAAATCCTTTGAATAGAATTCTTTTAAACTTCTAATCCATTGGAAGGATCTCTAGCACTTAGATCTTACTAGGATTCATGGGAGGAAGAACTGGCAAGAGGGTTAACAAGTGTATTTGAATGAAGTGTGAGAACGAGTGTGTTGGAGATCTTCAATATCGGAATCGAACATTTCCTGAAAAGCGTCAATAATACAATTTGCATCGAATCATCAAAAGTGGACTTGAATGGAATTTAATAATCCTTTATCTTCATAGATACGTCATCTGCCCATTGACTTGTCAAATTTTTTTTCCGGCTATTTAAAATTCGTTATTTAATCTCACAAAGACTCAGAGTTGAAGCCTGATTCAACTTGCGTATGCCGGATATTAGTTTGAACAAATATAGCTTTTTAGTCTGATAGCTACGCTAAACATGCATTTTCGTAGTGGGTACCGGTCAGCGATATTGCCCGCCTATGTGTTTATGAGTATGCTCATTATTAATACAGTTTGCGTGAAGTGTAGTGCATCTTTACTGCAGTCACGCTGATATTTTTTGTCTGCTGATTTTCTCTGAAAATCGAATATACTATTTTTTCGTGGTTTGAGGATATTGCTGTGTCAGTGTGGGTCACGTAGATTTCTTTTGAGTGTTATTGATAGAGTAACAGATTAAATGAACGAATGTTATAGCTAGCAGTATTACAACGGTACCAATAGCATTATACACGCCGACACATGTGTACACTAATGTTGACACTAGCACAAAGCCATGTGCAAATGCCCGATGCTACCTTTTGCAAAATGTCTGCAGTAATAAACAACTGCCGATGCAGTGAAATATTCAGTCGAGGGTTAAGCGAGTCACACAGACGAGCGTTACTTGTTGTACTGGTGCTATTATATGCCTAATTTTTCCGTTAAACAAAGGATCTTTTAAGTAAAGAAAGATTTCTTTTTATCAAGGTTTGGTAAAGATTTTCGGATACAGGTAGTTCGAATACGCTGTTTGTTTTTTGGAAAGTTCAAACTTGATTGCTGGATCAAGTAAACGAATTTCGTCTACGAACGGTCAAACTTAATGCAGAGCATAACTTTTTCAAAAATCTCTTCCTTTAATCGAAACTGCAAGTATACAACTCTAAGAAACTAATTGTAGATTCAGATTCCTCAATCTGCATTACTTATAAC